TAGCTTTTGTGGATGCTTGGGGCCCTTTAGTCTCATGAATGCTACTAAAGTAGTTGACTCCAAAATCTCTAAGAGCCTTTTATGCAAGTTTCATAATATTCTGCTTATTGATATATTGACTTGTTATAATGGTTTAAAGGGTGAGCAAGCCATTTTATTGTCCTCTTTAAGTCCACTATCTCTACCGTCTTGACAAGATTGCTTCTTCTTTTTTTCCTTCTCTCTCTCTTTCTCTCTGTCCCTCTCTCTCTCTCTCTCTTAGGTGGAGAAAGAAGGGCTTTCTCCGCTTTGAGCTTGAGAGTGAAAGGCATGAGGCTTTTTATTCTTTAAATGAAGTATATATTTTACTTAGGTGATGGATATCTTGCGTGGAGTTTTTTCAAGTTTACTGGTTAACTTCAGAGCTTTTCTTATAATGGCTCATGTAGAGCATATGGTTAAACAAGTATGAGCTGAAAAAATATGAACAACTTGTTTCTTCTCCAGCTGCATCCTTTGAAGCCATATGCTGCTATTTCACAATGTCAAAACTTTGCTGTTATTTTCAATAGTAGATCTTCAGGACTTAAATCAGATATTTTCTAATTTTCATTGTGAACAATTTTATGAAAAATCTGTATCAAACTTATACATGTGAAGTGCTTAACACACTTTACATGCCGACTTCAACTTTCATTAATCCTTTGTGCATGTTACATTATTTTGCATGTAGTTAATAATAATATATATTTATATAATTATAATATTATATATATATATATATATTATATAATATATATAATATATATATATTATATATGAGATTAATGGGTATCCTTGTCATAGGAGGGGATTCCTCCTATGACGCCTCTAAAATCACATGATTGAGCGACCTTGTGGATGATCGTATCAATTTTAACGGTTTTGAATGAATAGAACTTTTTGACATTGGCTCGATAAGGGTCAAACGCCGACGGGTTCACCCCAAACTTGTGTGTGGGGTTTAGAATATGTAGATCAAGTTCAACGGAGCGGATCATCCACAAGGTCGCTCAATCATGTGATTTTAGAGGCGTCATAGGAGAAATCCCTCCTATGACAAGGATACCCATATAATCTCTCTCTCTCTCTCCTGCTCCTCTACTCCTCTCTATATATATATATATATATATATATATATATATATATATATATATATATATGACTCCATATTCTCTTTTGCTGTTGCTCCAAATCTAACTACGTCTTCACTTTGCTCAAGATATTGAGCATCAGTCATTGTGGAGGGATCGGAGAAGCACAGCCCTCTCAATGAGGGATCCATTCTTTGGATTACTGAAACCAGGTTGCCGCTAGGAAGAATTGATGAAATATTTGGACCTGTGAAAAACCCCTTCTATATTGTCAGGTACAACTCTGATGATGAAGTTCCTCAAGGAATCAGCACAGGTGTTGCCATCTCTTTTGTTGTGGATTTTGCCAACCATATTCTAAATGAAAAATACCTCTATGAGAAAGGGTATGATGCATCAGGTATTGATGACGATGAGGCCGCTGACGAAGTGGAATTCTCTGATGATGAAAAAGGAAGCTGAGTACAATAGATCTCTCCGTCAAAGTAAGCGGGATGCAAACTATGGGAAACAGGAGACTGGGTTTTGCAAGAAAGCTAATTATAAGGGTTCCAGGTTTCAGAGGGGCCAGCATCTCCAACCTCCTCAATCACTGCCAGTGGCAAGAATGAACCAGCAACTGGCTGGCCAAGAAGGACAGGTTCATGTATCCCTTAATAGTGAGGGATACAACAATTGCAATTATGATCATAGGGCTGCAGGTAACATTCTTCATACACCTCAGCAGTTGAATACACAAGGATTTCTACTTCAGCCCCAATCTATAGGGTTTCCTGCTCAAGCCCAGCCACCCATCGGCGTGCATGGAGAATTTCCTCAGCCCCATTCTGAACAGTTTCCTGCTAAAGCCCAGCCATCCATGGGCATACAAGGAGGATTTCCTCAGCCGCAGCTTGTAGCAATACAAGGAGGACTTCCAATGAACTTGTTGCCATCTCAGCAGTTTGGAGATCAAACTTATAATCTCCAAAACCAGAATCAAGTTTTTAACAATTTTGCTAATGGAATAATGTCATATCAGCACTTGCAGCAGCAGCAGCAGCTTGTTTCTAGAGCTGGAGCGCTCCCTGGTAACTTTCAGTGGTTTGGTGGATTGTCATCTTCGTTGGCTCTTGCTGGGATCACGGGACAAGCTGGATTTAGTCATGTGCCATTTGGTTATGGTAATCTGAACCCTTCTCAGGAGCAGAGCCATGGGCTGCCTCCACTTGCTTTTAACCAACAAGCTGATATCAGGTGTGTTTCACTGCAGTTTAACCAGGGGAGGTCCTCCGCCTCCTCTAGGGGAAGGGGAAGGCGAGCTTATCCAAGAGGTGGCCGGCAGTCCTTTGCGCACCAAGGTGGCAATCAACATAATGGGTAGATAAATATGCCCAAAACAAATCATTTCTGTTTCCAAGTTTATGCCACCTGTGGGCTTTGGTGTTTAAAGTAATCGATCATATTTACGTGGTGTTTAAATTGACTATTAGATGTATTATCCAGTGACTTATACCGTGTTGTTACTTTCCATCTGTCTTGTAATAGCAGTGAAATTTTGGAACACTGCAGCGCACCGCCTGTCAAGTGATGATCTCTTTACAAGTATATTATTTGAAAAAAGTAATTGATCATATTTTGGAACACTGCAGTGCACCGCATGTCGAGAGATGTTCTCTTTACAAGTATATTATTTGAAAAAAGTAATTGATCATATTTTGGAACACTGCAGTGCACCGCATGTCGAGAGATGTTCTCTTTACAAGTATATTATTTGAAAAAAGTAATTGATCATATTTTGGAACACTGCAGTGCACCGCATGTCGAGAGATGTTCTCTTTACAAGTATATTATTTGAAAAAAGTTATCGTCGTATTGCAGGGAAGTCCTGTCGCTTGCCAAATTAAAAATTTAGCTTGTAGTGGGTTCTATAGTCAGTGACACCTTAGTTGAAGTGCGGCCTTTTACGATTCAGGTTTTAGTCTATCGTGGAGGAGGTACAGCTGCCAGCGTAGACACTGCCTTTGCATCATAGATCATTACTTATTTTCTAGTGTTACTTCTTTGGCAGGAAATCATATTTAGTGTTGTGTTATGAAGCTGAGGTGTATGCGACAGGTGCGCGGCTGCGCGCAACAGTGGAACATCTTGGAGAACTGATATCTGCAAGAAATGGGTTGGGGTGAAAGCTAAAATGTAAGACAGTTGTCTTAAATTGTCTTTTGCCTCCATTTGTGTCACTTTTACTCCTTTACATTACATAGCACATTTAGCCGTTGTTCTTTTCTTTTGCAGTGTAAAACGTTACTAATATGTGCGGGATCTTTTCAGTGAGGGTAATTCACGCTACATACTTGTTTGTTGAAATTATTTTAGGGTAAATTACAGTAAACCTCCAAGAATTTTCAGCGTTTTGTAGTAAACCGCAATAACTTTTAAAATTGCACTAAACCCCCAATAACTTTTGTAGAAAACCCCACTATTTTTTGGGTGAATTACATGAAACCCCCAGTGACTTCCATAGTGCATTTTTATGTTGTTCTTTTGGTTCCAATTTATGAGAGTTTTCTCCAAAACGCGGAAACATATTGGGGGTTTTCTGCAATTCCAAAAGGTTATTGGGGGTTTAGTACGATTTTGAAAGTTAGCGGGAGTTTACTGTAAAACGCTGAAGTTCTTGGGGATTTAGTGTAATTTTCAAAGTTCACTCTAGCTATAATGTAGCTGAAGCATAAGATAAAAATCTCCATCTAGCAATTGCTTGCTTTCCAGTGGAGATCAATCTACCGCAATAGTTTCCATACGTAGGCATTGGCATCCATTAGAGCCTCCACTTGCTTTATTCGTTTTTTCTTTACTATGCTAGTTGAACATTTGGCGCTGCCACAGTCAAACGCAATAAGAAAAGAGAGGCTTGGCATTATAGCCCACTCAGTAAACCTTGAATGATTCCGCTTTAGAACTTTGTTGACCCAATATCTACAAAAAGACAAAGCAAGTAAAACACCAATATATGATATTATTATTAGTGGCATCAAAAGCCTAATGGCTCCTCCACGATGAAG